TGGCAAGGCAGTGGCACACGACAAGGAAGGAGACACACAAGTCGCACTAGGTGACACGGAAGCAGCAGGTCTCAAGGAAGGAGAAACACAAGTCACACCACCTGGCAAGGCAGTGGCAAACGACAAGGAAGGAGACACACAAGTCCCACCAGGTGACACGGAAGCAGCAGGTCTCAAGGAAGGAGAAACACAAGTCACACCACCTGGCAAGGCAGTGGCAAACGACAAGGAAGGAGAAACACAAGTCGCACCAGGTGACACGGAAGCAGCAGGTCTCAAGGAAGGAGAAACACAAGTCACACCACCTGGCAAGGCAGTGGCAGACCGCAAGGAAGGAGAAGCAACAGTCGCACCGCCTGACACGGAAGCAGCGGGTCGCAAGGAAGAGGAAGCACAAGTCGCACCATCTAAGATGGAAGCCGCAGGTCACAAGGAAGGAAAAACACAAGTCACACTACCTTGGGCGACCGAGCCTGAACCACCAAAGAAAAAGGCAAAAACAAAGGAGACGGCAAAGGACAGGGGCTGCCTGTCGTTGTGGTTTATATTTTTTATTGTGTTTTTATTTGTGCCTTCAATCCTTTCTACTCGTAGCTAATTTAATTCAAGTCAAGTCGACCCACTCCGCTCCGACCCACCAAAAGCTATATAATATATAATATATATATATACCAGAAGTTCCCAGGCCCACCACTGACCAACGACCGACATGCATCCAGGAGGATCTTGCAAAGAAAAGAAAGCAAAACCTTCCGAAGGACTGATTGTTGCTTATATTCCGAGCATGGTCCTTTTGTGACGTGTTCTTAGATGCTTTTAGTATGTTTTTGAAGCCTTGTCCTCATTGCTGGGACAGGACAGTCTGCCTGTCGCCTGTCTTGGCGTTTCCTTGTTGCTGTTTGGATGTACAAGTTTTGGAGTCCTCCCTGCTCGTACACCTTGAATGTCACACCTTGAAAGCTCCATGTCCATTTGGAGATAGTGTTTCTGAGGAGCCAGAAGCGAAGAAAAGGGGTCGACCATCAAAGAAGTGAACAGCTGACAGTTCACCGGGGAAAAAAGAAAGCGTGAGCTGATTTAGCGCTGAGTGGGTTGACCCCCAGATGACCCCAGGCATCCAAAACACACTAAACCCTTAGAATCCATAAAAACAGCAAAAAAACCATAGCTCGTGAAATTTGACAGGCCAGGAGAAAAGCGCTAAGTAGCGGAGCCGATCGCTCCGTTCGGTTCGCAATGCCAGGAGCCCCTAATTAGTCGCTTCTTAGTAGTACGGCCAGGAGCCCCTGGTGGGCAATGGCAGCCCTCCGAGACATGCCGAGACTCCAACCACGGAGACATGCCGTTGGGTACTCCGACGCGACGCGTCGCGCCGGCCTATGCACTTCAAGAAAGCTCTCAGCCTTGGCAGTCCCTGCTGATTGGCCAGATCTGCCACTTGGACAAACATGCTGAGATGCCTCAGACTGCAGAGTTGGTCGACTTCCAGTCCGTTGGATGTCCGACATGTCGGATGATCTCGATCCGTGATCCGCCGCCACATCCGTCCAGCATGGCACGAACACCTGCAGAGGGTCATGGTCTCTCTCGGTCTGTGGATGTCGACGTGGTGTGGTCACCACACTGTGGTCCTATACTACATCTTCGGCCAGCAAACAATCGTTGACATTGAGAGGTCATGGTTTGGTGGAGGTTTGGTGGAGAAACTCATCCCCAAAGAAACTGACCTCAAAGAGGATGACCTCTTTGGAGAGACTCATCCCCAAAGAGGCCAAACTAAAGCTTCGGAGAAACTCATCCCCCAAAGAGGTCCAAGGCTATCCACTGACAGGGCGACGGAGTATGAGATTCGTGGAGATGCGCGGGGCGTTTCCAGTGCAGCTGGGCGACGGCTCCAGCATCGCCAAGCAGCTGGCACTGCATTCCTGCAGCATCTTTTGGGACCCCACCAGGAGTGGAAAGGTGCCAAGCGGCGTGAGCCAACCGCTCCCCACATTCTCTTGGAGGCCAACTCCCCAGTAGCGCTTCACTTGAGAAGTTGCAAGGACTCAACTGCATCTCGACACCGGCATTGGGGTTTCCTCTCGGGTGTGAAAGGGTTGATAAAAGTATATCTTTCTCTGACTTCACATTGTCTTGCTCGCACACCGTGTCCATGATGTTTTACTTTGGCCGTTGGGGGGGTGGGTTTGTTGGTGTGCCAACTAGCAGCTACATTGGGTGTCCTGAAAGCAAGATGGCCCTTTGATGTGCTGACTCTGCTGAAAGGATGACTTCCAGGCTTCCAAGTAGAATCGAAGACAAGATTGAACCCACGAGCTCACCCCAAACCACCGCCAGAATTCAAGGAGAACCACCCTTCACTTCCACATGCATTCTACGAACAACTGCGGGGTAGACGGTCGACCGTCGGCCTGCGAGACGATCGCCCACAGCGGCTGGAGCTCGGCCGGCAAGCGCGGGGCGTCCGCCATGGCGGACGTTGCTGGACTCGGTGTGTTCTCACGGAGCCCCGGCATCGCAGTGCGACTTGTGGTGGTTCGCTGCGTTGGGGTTTCCAGTTCGAAAGGACGTCACGTGGGGAAAGGACGACGGTCCCGTCATGAATCGTTGATGGAGCTGAATCCATCCTACCAGATCTACCAGGATCATCCTGTCTGAGTGTCCAATAGAACTACCCTACCCTACTTACAGGTCTCCAAACAGGGCACCCGTTGGAAGTGCTAGGTAGACGATTTAGAAGCAGCAAAAGGTCATCCCCAGCTACTATTGACTGAGTTAAGGTCATCCCCGGCATCGAGGGATGAGACAAACATAGAGGAACCATGAGCCGAACATGGTAATTTATACTGTAGCATGCAGCATAAAAATAATTATGCTAGGACCCTCCAAGGGGTGCCCAATGGAAGCCTATAGGTAGTGTGGGGTAGTCCATTGGACACCCCTTGGAGGGTCCTGGTGTATTAATAGTCCATCTTTCTCGGGGTTTATCTAATTCACATCCCCATGAGACTTCCCTCGCCCAGGAGCCAAAGCTGCATAGTTGCAGCTAAGTCAAGTACAAAAACCCAAGGTTTCGCCCAGCGCTTCGCACGTTTTCACCCAACAACTCGAGTGCACGGTCTAACGAATGGTTCACGGTCCGCTCGGTTCGACCAGGTCCGCTCGGTTCGACCATGGCGGACTCAGCCCCGTCGTCTGACCTCCCACCGTTGCGTCGTCTGACCACGCGTACGACCGTGTGGGCCCGGTCTGACTGGTCGGACGAGGAGCACGGACTCCCACGTGAACTCGCCCCTGGACGTTCGTCGTTTCGCGTAGAAAGGAGTTCAGACCCTGGCCTTTGTAAGACATGTAGATCTACCATGATCTACCCTGACCACAAAAAGTATCAAGCGGTGAGCGAGTAGTCTCAGACCCTCGAGTGGTACGCAACAACGTTTTGCCTGTGCTACTGCACCCCCAAATAGGTTCTGGACTTCCACGGTTTAGCGGTATAGCTACACGACAAACATCAAGTCCACGGTGTATCTATCACTAGCTGAGTCAAACTCCCGGCCCTGGTGCAAATGTGTGCAAATCCATCTTCACACCTACCATCGCTTTGCTTGTTTCGTTCTGACCCCTTCTGCGAAGAGATCACTCAAGCCCAAGCGAACCCGTTGTTCCACTCTGGAACCCACCCAGCGCAGCAGCCCAGCCTTCAAAATATCGGCGATGATGGCCAGCAGGTAACCTCTTTCGAATGCTTCAGCAGCTGAGCCGTTGCCGCTTTGAACATGAACGAACAAAAACCGTCGACGTGTCTCGTGCGAGAACATGGGTGCCGGGTCTGACCACTTGTGGACAGAGTCTTCCACTTCATGAGGGTTGGTAACAACATGTAACAACGTCATGGTGCATATGGGCGTGTTTTTAAATGGGAGATGGGGAGCCACCCTGGCCCAACAGTTTTTTCTCCATGTCCCTTCTTCCGGGGGTTCTTTGGGAGGTCTCCCTATGTGAGCTACACACGCATAAAAATATATATATATATATATATTATAGATGCAAGGTGTGACAAGACCTCAGCCTCAACCGCCAGGGTGGCATGACCCACAGTCATATTACTGAATTGATATAAGGATGCACCTGTAGTGCGTTTTCAGCATCAAAACAACCGTTTTTGATCCTTTTTGTCCCCTTTAGATACTATGAATGATTTTGATTGAAGCATGCCCTCCATATCCGTAGGCCAACATCATTGTGGTTTGGGGGAGCATGCTCCCGTCTTCAACAGTAATAAAATCATCCAATGAACGAACACTGCGTACTGCATATCTTTTGCAAGCGGTTGCCCATTTGCCTTGGCTTGACCTTCGTCACAGCCTCCATTTGCCTGTGCTGCACCTTTGCAAAAACTATCACACAACTTCACCTGTCATCTCGAACCTCACGCAACAATTGCACGACTTCCAAGTGGCCGTTCTGCGCAGCCATGAGCAAAGGCGTTAACCCATCTGTCCTTGCTGTGTTTTTGTCAGCTCCAGCCTCAAGCAGCAATCGCACGACTTCCAAGTGGC